ATATATATATATATATATATATACACGTATGCGGAGTAGACATGAACAGAGAGAAGTAGCTCCGGTTACAATGTTCTTCCGCAAGACGCACGCAGTTCTGTTTATGAACCGCTAGAGTGGCAAAAGTTACATACAGTTACATACATGATTTCATTATAGCATCAGAATAACATCTTTTCGTTTTGCAGCACAAAGAATGAATGAGAAAAGCAGCATATCCCGCCTTATTTCTTTAAATACCAAAAACAAAAGCCCATCAACATTTAAAAAATTGGGGGGAAAATCATGTAGCAATAATTACAAAGAGAGAGAGAGAGAAAATAACCCATCAACAGCATGTCTTGTATAATGAAAAAATGTGCATTATTGGAGTCCCAGCTGCTCCAGGAGGTCTTTCTGAACAGTACTGTGAGGGTTCTAGGCCTCCCTCTCTGCCACTCTTTTTTCTTCTACCAATGTGTCTTCCTTGATCCATGCTTCCAAACAAAGTCATTCTGAAGCCATCCATCCCATTTGTTTATCAAAAGATCACCAAGGGGAAAAAAAGACTAAAAATAGGACATCTGGCTTGGTTTCAGCTGAAATTGCAGTTAGTTGTGTTTGGAATAATTATTATACAATTTCATAGCAAGAATTTAGCTAAGATTTTATATTTTAGTATAATTCCTGCAATAATGGACAGTTTGCCATCGTTTTGATTTGAATGTGCTTTTATCGGTTTTGACAGTAGTGTGTTAACTGGTGGAAAGAGTACCGAAAAAATATATATACTCGAGTAAAAGTACCATTACATTCCTAAAAATGTAGTGTGAGTAAAAAGTCCTTGTCCAAACTTGAGTAAGAGTAAAAGAGTAGCTTATTTAAAAGTACTCATGAGCATTGAGTAGTGAGTATTAAGCTGTTGATTCTACCCCCTCATAATAAATGTACACTGCAATTTAAACATTTAGAAAACATTGTACATATTGTAATTTACATTATCTTTTGTTGTTTGTCAAAAAGAATAAAGAATATCTATCATCCAGCAATTTTAATGTCGACTGCCAACTATTTAAAATACATCAAAACAACATAGAAAAATACATCATCTTTGCATGGAAAAATAAATCAAAAATACATGTATCTTTAAAATACATCATAACAACACGGAAAAACTGAAAAGATTACAATTATTCTCAGTACAGTCATCACCATTTAAATCAGAAAGTAAAAAAAAAAAGAAAAAGATTTAAAATCAAGTGTAGGGCCACTGAGACAGAGCATGCTATTGTTGCACATAAAATATTAATGTTTAGAACAGTTCAAAGACTACAAAAACCATTAGAAACTCATACGAAAGTTCAGCATCACACACCATGAGATGGGTTAAAATTAGAAGATTAAAAAGAGCCAATTTCTCTCCAAAATGGTGCCAGTTTTAGCGTTTTGCAATAAATCACTAAACATGCTCATTTATAATACAATTTAAACATAAAATGCACATTGTTCTAAAACAGTGGTCGCCAATTCCTCGATCACGATCGATTGGTAGATCTTTATCACCGTCCCAGTAACTTAGATCCCAAAAATAACAGTAAAACAAGTACAAAAATGCATTACATTTCTCCTGTAACGGGGCTGATGAGACGAAACAGTCAAAAACACAGGCAGGGTCGAACAACAGCAAACAGGTATGGCACAGGCAAGACAGAAGAGCAATCCTAAACGGGCTTGAGTCAGATGACAGCAAATGTAATCCAGAGGGCTTGACAAGAGGGGTAATCCATAAATGTGAGCATAAGGCCAGGCGAGGAGCAAACATAGTCCGAAACAGCAAGCAAAGGGTTAATCCAAGATACGTGGCAAAAATCAGGAACCAGGAAAACAGGCAAGGCAAGACTATGACTAGACTACAGGCAAGACAAAAGAGCAATCCTAAACGGGCTTGAGTCAGACGACAGCAAACGTAATCCAGAGGAATTGACAAGAGGGGTAATCCGTAAATGTGAGCATAAATCCAGGCGAGAAGCAAACATAGTCTGAAACAGCAAGCAAAGGGTTAATCCAAGATACATGGCAAGAATCAGGAACCAGGAAAACAGACAAGGCAAGACTATGACTAGACTATCAAAACTAGGGCAGGCTCCGTAAAGTAGCTATCAGCTATCACAGTGATAAACGCTAAACAATACTCGGCAGTTTGAAAGGGATCTGAGTGGGGTAATATAGTGAGTGTGTGACTGGTTACAGCTGTGTGCAATGGATGATGGGATATGTAGTCCGGGAGGACATGCAACAGTTTGTGTAGTGCGAGAGTCAATGTAACGGAAGGGTGACCTCTGGTGGCAATCGAACAGAAGTCCATGGACAGGATTCGTGACATCTCCATTCTTTGTACTGTATTTTTCTGTTATTTTCGGTAGCTACTAAGACAGTGATAAATACAAACGGGCGTGATGTATTTTTCTTTGTTTTAAATCCTGAAATTATATAATCTAATTCAAATCAAAACCAACTGCTCGTGCAGTGTGTGTAGCATCTTTCTTTGGATCATGACTAAAATGCAGGTGGTTGCCTCTAATTTCAAAAGGCTACAGATATTTTTGTTTAAGGCCAGTTTGTTTGTTATAAAGCAAATAACCAATAAATAAATTTGCTTTAAAAAATCAGTATCAGAATCCGCCAATTTGTTAGTTAAAAAAAAAGAAAATCTGATTCTGAATCGACTATGATCGGTGATTCACTAATTAAAATACTAAATAAAAGGCCTCAAATTGGAAGTGCAATCTGGGATATCTTTTTCTATAAATTCTTAAATAGGTAGATCTAGTCTTTCATAAAGGCCGAGGTCAGGAATCTTGGGCTTAAAATGTAGGTGACCACTGTTCTAGAAGGAGGGCATCATCGCCTACCTTTTACACATTTACTCAAATTGTTATGCTGATAATAAAATTTTTAAGGTGAAAGAAAAGCATTAAATAGGGAAGTATTTCCGGGGAAAAATTTTTTTCAAAAGAAAACAAGCTCTTTGCTGAGCCGCGGCGATATCA